ATCTTTTTACAGTCATTGTTCCATTGGAATATTCTGCAGCTGCATCAAAATTGTGAATTTTATATGACTGTTTGAATCTGTAATTTTATTTATCCTGTTTATACTGGAGTTAATAACTTGCCTGATCATGGAACCTGTTTACGCATAATTTATGGCGGTGGTGTCCTTGGTGGTTGATAGAATCATTGTTTACACATGGAAATATTGGATTGTTTACAGACACATGCATGTGTTAAATCAAGTATTAAACTTTCTTCAGTGCCCATGCACGTGTTAAATCATTTCAGCAGATCAAACTTTCTTCTATAGTATATTCAAAATAATTACTAAATTAAGACATTCTATGTGTGCCATTTATAAAAGTTCTATCATTGGAACATTGTTTTTTTTTTACTTATGGGAAATATATGTTGTGTCATTGGGATTTGAATGCATTTCAATCTTCTGCATGATGCAGTATGCAAATTTGAGATAAAATAAACCGAGAGCAATTGATTATCTGCACAAAATGTGTCAAAGGGGTTATCGGTCCGCTGATCTACACATGATTGCTTTTTTATGAATCTTTGTTCGAGGTCAATTGGGTCACCACGGGATGTCAGCTGGAGTATCGTGGATTATACTCTGGTCATTCAGTTATGCATATTTATTGTATCTTTATCATAAAGACTTACAATTTGATCAAAATATAATGTATTTTAGCCATTTGATGAAATGTTTACATTTTGCTCTCACTGCACTAAAGGTGGCCGTACATCCCCCTTAATGAAGCGTTTAAATTTACTCCCCTTTACTGGTTATTTACTATTTATTTTTAATGCAATGCCTCGAATAACCCTTGTTTTCAGCTTCTTTTAAAACATTTTTATGATAAAATTCTTTGTGTTTTAGAATATTACATGGCACAATAGATTTGGATATTTAAATCCTGTACATTAAATCACCTGTAACCGCACATTAAGTTGACAAAACTCTCGATTCGTAACTTAATCGACAGGTTTTCGTCAACGTAATTAACAATTACAGGTAACTTAATGTACAGGTTTTAAATGTTGAAAATAATACATAAAATGCAAAATATTTTTTGAACCTCATTTGTAATGAAAACAGGCAAATAAATTTTTTATTTAATGCACAATTAATGCAAAAATACCAAACATTTGTTTATGAAATGTTCAACAGTATATCATCTTTGGAAATGATAAATCCATTGCAAAAAAGACACATATGTAATATCCTTATGTATAATTATTTCAGAAAATCCACAAACCGAAGTTTCTTTATTAATAGTCAAGTATCTCATCCTCTTCACAATATTTGTAAATGGATGCTGGACGTGGTAGATCCATTCCACAAATGTCAAAAAAATCCATCAACAGTGCAATTTAAATTGTAAAAGAGATAGGCATATTTCCTGATGAAATGATAATCTCACTAGATGCACTGCAAGTGGAATCATTTTTGGGACAGCGATCACAAAGAGCTTTATTTTTCATCTTTTTATGTGTTTAATTTCTTTGTGTTTCAATGGTGATAATTAAACTTTTGATAGATATTTTAAGTTATCGGTGGCAAACTTACAAACTCTTAATTTTTAACTTTAAACTGATGGTGCTCATTTTTCCTTTACTTGAATAAAAAAAGTTTAAGTTTTTTTTACATATCAATACGTACACTATTTAACAAATGTTCGATAATAATACTAAATAAATTACTTCAAGAAACACTATAACACATTTCCTCTTTTAAAAGTGTTCATTTTATTTGAAATTTTTTGCAACTGTAATTCTCTTCTACATTTAAAGATTGTTATGTCCCTCCATATTAAAAAGAGGTCTGGAAAACAAAATTCTGTGCTAAAAATAGAAAATGATAATCTCACTAGATGCACTGCAAGTGGAATCATTTTTGGGACAGCGATCACTAAGAGCTTTATTTTTCATCTTTTTCAAACACTTGCCATCATCTGAATCCCCAATATTTCCATGAATTATTTCATCGATAGATATCAGTAATTTCTGCAAACGATGAAGGCAAAATTAAAGACCCTCTAAATACATTTCTCGCCAATCTTCTCTTTATGATAAAAACTCATTAATTTTCCTGTCCTTTTTTTCAATTTCCAACTAGTTTTGCTTAAAGCAATATGAGCTATATCCTCGAAAATTTCATTTTGCTGGTAAAATGTGCTATTATGATTAATTTGTATGTAATTTAAACTCTTATGACCAATAAGCCCAAAATAAAGTTTAAAAATGTTTCAGAGGAAATATTTCTGTACAACCGAACATACAGTTTTATATAAGAAATCATTATTGTACATGACGACAATAATTCAATTTTGCTTCAATCAAAGCTAATTTAAAAAATTCCATCGCGAATATGAACAACAGAAGTTTATAAATAATTTATTTATCTGTCATTAAATTACTTAATTACAAATTTGCTATAAAATTTTCCGATGTCAAACATGCAGCTCATATTGCTTTAAAAAAATTTACGAGTACTTTTAATTTCAACAAGACACATGCACTCATATATTTAACATTAACAACCACTGAAAATAATCGTTGCGTTACATAGCAGAAAACATTATATTGTTGTGGCTAGGATAAATTGACATATGATTTAAAAAGTATCGTAAACTATGGTTTCTAGTTCACAGAAAATTGTGCATCTCCGACACAAGATGCAAAGTTTTGTTCCTAAACTATTTTCTCAAACATAAAACAATGTTCATCGCATTTTTCACGAAAACAATCAATCTTATTAATGACCAAACTTCTGGCAAATATTTGTCTTCATAAACCTTGTACAAATTATTATATTCTAATTCAAAGGAATTTCCAAGATATACTTGAAACTTTAGAGCCGACCTTTGCTCGAGTACGGCAGAATCAACATTTTTTTGTAACAGGTCACCTACATAATATTATTGAGTCATTTTCACAATGTGACGCTCCAAACATGGAGCAAAATGTTATATAACATTTTCTTTTTATAGATGATATGCATGACTATATGCATGTGTGTCAAATCTGATTCTGAGCTGAACTGTAGTATTTTTTAATATACAGATAGTTGCAAACTTTTTTAAAGTATATTTATCAAATGAACGATATTTTGCAGTTGCAAATGATTGTTTTCAATGTTTATTATAGTTAACGCTGGTGAAACATAGATTATGGGATAAACTATTGATAATAATCGTTAATCAGTTGTAGTTTTCTGTCCATTAACATAGTTTACAGTCGATATAAACCTTGTTTAAATTATCAACTTAAAATTATGATTAGCTCAATCCTGTAAATTTGGCGTTCCATATCCTAATCTCTTACAATTTTTGAGTTCATACCAGTGCACGAATCAACGCTTATGAAGATTTTTATATAAAAAAAGTAATATTAAGTTTTTATAAGCATAGAGCAAAATGCTATATAGCATTTTATAGAACATATGTATAAATAGATGTGTGCCAAATTTCATTCTGGTCTGAATTCTATTTTCTAGATATAGAGATATTCGCGAACGTTTTGATCATTTCTCGTAGTTAACAAATCTTCATTCTATTTTTATCAGATTAACGATATTTTGCAGTTACAGATGCTTGTTGTCCATAGTAATTGTACTATATACGCTTATTTAACAGAGATCATCGCTTTAATTATAGTTTACAGATGTGAAATATAGGCTAAAATCGTTATAAGTAGTATATAATTATCGTCCGTAAACGTAGTTCACAGTCGATAAACCTAGTTTAATTTATCAAATGTACGTAAAACCTGCTCATTTCTGTAAATTTGGCGTGTCATATCGATTTACATGTACATTTGAATTTATATTGGTGACCGATTCAACGCTTATGCAGATTTTGTATTTAATCAAAGAACACAAATTATTTCTTCTTTATGTCTAAAACCTTGTTAATTTGAACAATTTACCAAATAACGATTTTTCACATACATGCATATGAAATATTAATGACTGATGCCCACAACCTTATAATCTTAAACAAAAGAAAACCTTTCACTCAATTTTACGATAAAAAAATTTAGTGATGTATTAAGAACGTCAAGGAACAACACATGAAATCATGCAGAGAGACATCACAATGCATGAGATGATAACATCTATCAGAAATTTAAAGAAGAGAAAGGCTCCAGGTCCAGATAACATCACCAATGAGATGCTTCAACAACTAGGCAACTCAGCTCTAAATAAATTGTTGGACATATTCAATCTCAGCTGGAGTCTAGGCCAAGTACCACAATGCTGGAGGGAAGCCATCATGAAACCAATACTGAAAAAAGAAAAAAAAAACAAGTCAAAAGCCGCAAGTTACCGTCCAATTAGCCTCACAAGTAGTTGTTGCAAATTCATGGAACGCATAGTGAACAAGCGCATGCATATGTATTTGGAATCAGAAAACATCCTTGGGCACGAACAAGCTGGTTTCAGACAATACAAAAGCACAGAGGACCAAACTACACATCTCTCACAAGTAATAGAAGACTCGTTCCAATCAAAGAAATGAACATTAGCGGTCTTCGTAGATCTACAAAGAGCGTTTGACAAAGTCTGAAAAGATGGCCTACTTGTAAAACTCCAAAGATTCGGCGTAAACGGAAGGATGTACAAATGGACTAACTCCTATTTGAAGAACCAAAGAGCCAGAGTGATGGTAGGTGGAAAATTGGGAAAGAAAATTCTTCTTAAGCAAGGAGTTCCCCAAGGAGGAGTACTGCCACCTACTCTCTTCATATTATTTATGAATGATATTGTATCTGAAATGCCAAACGGAGTAAACATAGGACTATATGCGGACGATCTGGTACTATGGTGCTCTGAGGAATACACAACCACAGCAAAGTACAGAATACAAAAAGCGTTAGACAAAGAAGAGACATGGACAAGAGAATGGTGTGTTACCATCAACAGAGAAAAAAACAACAGGAACTCTCTTCACACTATCGCCTAAAACTCAAAACATCACTCTTACCATGGACGATACTCAAATCAAAATCGAAGAACAGCAAACATACCTTGGGATAACCTTTGATAAAAGAATGACATGGAAACAGAACATAATGTCAGCTAGGAGAAAACTTAAAATCATGAGAAAACTGGCAGAAACAAGCTGGGGTGCAAATGAAACGGTATTGAAAACTGTCTACCAAGGAAAAGTAAGACCACATCTTGAGTACGGATCTAGTGCATGGTCAACAGCATCCAAGAGTCACCTACAGACACTAGACAAAGTCCAGAACCAGGCATTACGTATCATCACAGGAGGCATAAAATCAACACCAATTGCAAGCATGGAAGAAATTACCAACATACCACCATTAAATAAGAGAAGAGAATGTAAAGCTATGATACAGGCCACCAAGTATCAATGCCTTCAGGATCATCCAATGAGCCAGAGAATGAAACAACTACAGCGAAAACATCCACAAGACGAAAGACCACCTTTAAGCAATCGCTTAATGTAGCTTAATGGTGACTTAATGGTGGCTTAAAGAAGTTAATTCCTTTAAGCCACCATTAAGCCACCATTAAGCTGCAACTTACAGGTGCTTAATGTCCAAACTTCATTAAGCTACCATTAAGCCACCATTAAGCTGAGCTTAATGGTGACTTAATGGTCAACCCTCATTAAACTTTAAATCTACGCATCTTATATAGAATCTTTGAACTAACTTTTAGTTATTTTAATATCATTTACGCAAAATCTATTCCAACTCATAATTCTGTCTCGATCATAATTTCTACGAGTTTTTTGTCAACATGCATAAACTTGATCACTGGGAACAAAGTTAGCTAATAGCCACAGGGGCTTGCTCGAGGTGTCTAATTTTTTCTTAAAATCATTTACAGTGATAATAAAACAAGACATCCTGTATCAGAACCGTATATATTTTTTTTTAAATAAATCATTATTACATGCGTTGTTTTTATTTTTAGTGTATATGATTTTTAAAAATAAATAATTATTACACACCGTGAGCAAGTCCTTGTGAAATATCTTAAATTTACAATACCAAAAATCAATTTGTTTTAAAATTATCTATATTCATGAACACAAAATATATATTACTTTTAAAAAACAAAATGGTATTTTTATTTCATGTGTTAAAAGAAACATTCCGCTACAGAATTCACAGGAATATAACTATATAATCTCATGAAAAAAAATCTCTGTCCTTTTTTTTTTTGGTGGGGGGGGGGGGGGGCTACTGGTATACAAATGTTTAGTTTTCAAAGATTGACTTTTACCATGAAAAACTTTTTAATGGCTTTTACATCATGAATAATTCTAATTAATTCGTTATTTTTTTTTTTAATAATGCAGCGGTAAGTATCTGTCAAAATCTAGTCGGTCTTAAATTCAATGATTGTTATTCCAAAATCGATTTTCAGAGGAACGGCCGATCAGACTATATAAACATGACATCCGACCAGATGTATACACATTGAGAAACGGGGTAAGATTAACAGATGATCAGTGTACAGTAAACCGACTGGTCAGACAATAGACCTTAATTAGGTGTCCCCACGGGCCCGTCCCCGGTTAACTAACAGGAAACTATACATACACAACGTACACTGACAGATTTTAATGATCAATTATTTTTTACAAAATTAAATTTAACGCAAGCATATAACAAATTAAAAATTATGATTCATCGTAAAAAGTCAATTATTTTGATACCCATTATGATACAAAAAGAATTGAACTGAATATGATATTCTAAAAAAAGTTTTTGTAAACGTAATTAACCAGGTAACTCTTACGCGAGGATTGTCACTAAATTGTTGACACAGAAACCGTTAATATCCGCAGTATATTAAAAATAACAGTAGAATCTGTTTTTTCCTCTTTCTTTTTCGATGATAGACTTTTGTGTTTTATCTATAATTAATTTATTTTCAATCATGATTTCATGCTTACATTTCGAAAATTTTCGAATAACAGAGCGAAGAACTCAATCACATTACATCAATCTAAAAGCCGAAATCGGTGTAGAAATATATATTAATGTGTTAAGATCCACAAATAAAATTGTTTATATTTTGATTAACAAATCAATTCAAGACTTTTGGAAATGTTCAACAAAATTCTAGTAAATACCTTTACAAGTCAAAACAAATTTTGAAAAAAATAAAGGTTAAATATTTAATATTTTCCTTTCATTTTCAAGAGCGGCGATAGCCTAATGGATAAGGCATTCGACTTGCAACCCTAAGGTCATGGGTTCGGGCCCCGATTGTGGCGTTTTTTTTTTTTATTTTTGGATTTTTAATTTCGTTTTTTTTTCATTATTTTTACCAAATCAAGATATAAGCGAACTCTACATTTATAATATTGATAACAAATCACTATAAAAATAATTTTTCACCCATATAAACAATATTATCGACTGTGTAATGTGACTTAATGGTGGCTTAATGGTGGCTTAATGGAAGCTTAATGGAGTTTGGACATTAAGCACCTGTAAGTCTAGCTTAATGGTAGCTTAATGGTGACTTAATGGTGGTCTAAAAGTTACCATTAAGGACCTGTAAGCCACCATTAAGCTACCATTAAGCTACATTTAAGCACCCATTAAGGACTTTGAGTTGGCTTAATGGTAACTTAATGGTGGTGTAAATGTTACTTAAAGGTGCTTAATGGTGACTTAATGGTGACTTAAAGACAACCAATAAACCACCATTAAGGACCTATAAGCCACCATTAAGCCGGACTTAAAGGGTGTGTTTCATCTTGTGATCAGGACGTTCTGCCAAAACTAGTTAAACCAATAGAGATCACACTTACAGCTAGCCCCTGTGCAGAGAAAACTGTAAATGTCACCATACACACCCCAGTCTCACAAATCACTGCTAAAAACGAACAATCAGATTTGGTAAAAAAAAAAAAAAAAACGTTCACAATCAGTATGATAGAAGAACAGTATCGCTCAACATCTTGGATCAGTTTATACAGACGGATCAGCCAAAAATGCAACAACAGAAGGAGGAGAGGGTATTTACATCGAATACCCTAATGGAGAAAAATAGCCAGAGGCAATCCCAACAGGCCTTCATTGCTCCAACTACAAAGGCGAAGAAGAAACCATCACCCATGCAGTACGCTCCATCAGAGACAAGTCCAACATAACAACAAGTGTAGTATTCCTGACAGATGCCCTATCTGTACTGCAAGCCATTAACAATGGTAAACTCCCCGTACTTGAACAAGATCTACACAACATCGAAAGCCTTCAAACAGCATTACAATGGATACCATCTCATTGCGGAATCAAGGGAAACAAAAATGCCGATCTGCTAGCAAAGGAGGGAGCCAAACAACAGCAATATGAAAACCAAGTTAGCTTCTCAGAGATGAAAACCATCATCACATCACTACACAGAACCCCTCAACAACAAGACAGCTATAACCAACTGGCTAGACCTGAGCAGACGAACATCTTCAGACATAGGACAGGACACAACAGACTCAACCAACATCTGCATAGAGTCATGAAAGTCATACCATCACCGATGTGTACATGTCGAGAAGCTGATCAGAATACAGAACACCTCATACAACACTACAGAATACACCAGGCACTGAGAAACAACACATGGCCAACACCAACAACGTTATAAGAGAAGCTTTATGGACCATTGGATGCCCTACAGAAGACCACCAGATTTGTAGAGGAGACTGGGACTCAAGTGTGATTAGGCGAACGAAAAGAAGAAGAAGAAGAACTTCAAGTTACATAAACACAGCACTGAGTGATTTTTTGATGCCAAACATTTACGCCTCATTCTATAAAATCAAAATTTGGCGAGTTTTACACAATAATAATCATACAACACATGAAGGATAATAACTCTCTTGTAAAAAGCTATACCCGAAGATTGCTTTGTGATAAGAAGAAAGCGTTCATGCTAGACGGAAAAATACTCTATTGGGAGGTATTGCTTTACATTCTCATTTTCTTTTCTAGATGTATATAATCTATATTACTTATATTACTATGTTTCAATTTTTTATTTAAAAGTTTATAGCGGAAAAAGGGGATTCACATCCAAATCACAATGAAATAAAAGCTTTTGAGGACAGCCTATATATCTCCATCAAAAGTGTACTACAATTTTGTGTTAATGATTTAATGAATCATTATAAAGTGATTGTTGAGGTTAATGAAATATTTTCAGCATTTTTTTTTTATAATTCTTACTTTCGTTTTCACAGACATTACAAAAATCATGAAGATAAACCAATAATAAAGAACATTTGTACTTCTATTTTTTTTCAGATTTAATATGGATCCCATCAGGAGTGCACAAGACGTCATCCGATGTGACCTTTGTAAGACAGCTATAGTACAGATGTACTGTGATATCTGTCATATCAACCTTTGTAAACAATGTAATTAGGAATATATTGCTGATGAATATGACAAACATGAAGTGGTCCCATTCCAACACAAAAAGTCAACTTTAATCTACCCTAAGTGCTTAGCACATCAATCAAGAGACAGAGAGTTTTACTGTGAAACGTGCACAACCTCTATGTGTGCTCTGTGTGCTTTATCTGATACATAAAGTGGGCATTCAGTTTCATCTCTTTCTGATCTCTTTTATCCAAAGAGGAAAGTCATTGGAAAAGATGCTGAAGAATTAGAAAACTCAATTTCTCCAACGTATGCAGAAATTGCAATTGAATTAGAAACCCAGATAGCTAACTTAGATGGAAAATATGGATATTTTACAACAGCGTTGATCAAATGTGGAGAAGAATGGCACAGAGAAGTCGATATAATTGTCGAGAAATTAAGAATTGAAATAGAAAAAGGGAAATTGAAGCATAAGAGTATTCTAGAGGATCATTGAAAGAAATCAAACAGATACAAACTATTATTGAACAAACACTTCTAAATCTTCAACAGATTGAAGATTCCAATGATGTATCTTTGACCATGAAATACATCTCACGCACTAAGGAATTAAGCAGACTACTTCCAAAAACTCATATAGCACTGCCAACTTTTAGTTCAAGGACAATAGACACAGAACGGTTTTACAAGCTTTTCGGATATTTTTACACCATTATCCGTCACAACAGAGGAAAATGGTTACGAAGTGAAGAAACCAAAGTTATCAACAAAAGAAATGCTGGAGACAAAAGTAAGTTATATCATTTTAACACATCGATCACATTATTTGTACCAACAGACATTGATATTTGGTTAGATTAGGGTCTATTTCTTCTCTTTTTTCTTATTATATGTATTCTCTGGACATATTAGTTCTTGGATAAGAAATCCTCATCAATACCTGTAATTTATTATTTCAGACTTGGGACACAGAGAACATGTCCTCTGACAGAAAGCCTTTGGTGGCAGCCATTGACTTTGGTACTACGTACAGCGGCATTGCATTTTCCTTTAAACATGACTACGAGAACGACCCTTTGAAGGTCAGATCCAACAACTGGACAGCAGGCTTCCGGGTTCTGCAGACCCTAAAGACCCCCACCTGTATTCTGTTCAATAAAGACAAAGAGTTTGACTCGTTCGGTTATGAAGCAGAGGATAAATATTCAGAGCTGGCAGAGGATGAGGAAAATGAGGAGTTGTATTATTTTAAGGGGTTCAAGATGTCTCTCTTTAACAAAGAGGTAAGTTCATCTCTTAATATAAGAAAAAAGATAATTATTTAAAGTCAGGATTGTTGTTAAGGGACCGGGGATTACTCTGTCTATACTGAGGTAATCCCCTCCGGCTACTATAGTATTCTTGTATTTCCTATCGACACATAGATCTGTTAGGGGAGGAACCCTTAACTCACTTCTACTTGGTATTGATCCCGATCTTTTCTATTCTGTTTCAATTCTGAGATACAACCCTGTTTAAGTAAGGCAGAAAGATAATCAAATTATATTTATTTGCTGTAAATTTGTAAAACGTTATTGGTTGAAGCTTACAGGTTAGAATTTAAAAAAAATATTTTTTAAATTTATAAATATTTTGTGTATAGAAGCTTCGATTTAATATTGAGCTTTTTTTTACTTAGCAGACTGTATGTCTTCAAAATGCTTAATATATTGCACATTTTATTGTACATTGTTCTCACAGGAACCACTTTCAAAAGCCGTGAAAATAAAATCTATAGACGGGAAGGAGATGTTGGCTTTGGATGTGTTTTCAGCGGCCATTAAATTCCTGAGGGGTCAGCTACGACAATCTCTAGAAGAAGAAGGCGCCGGGATCAGAGAAACTGATATTGGCTGGGTCTTAACAGTACCTCCTATCTGGGACGATACTGCCAGACAATTTATGAGAGAGGCGGCAGTTAGGGTATAAGCTATAAATTAGCCTAGAGAAATGTTTTGTCCCCCGCTTTCACTGGAAGTTAGGGGTATTAATTTCGGTCTCTCTGTTCGTCCGTCCTTATTTCTGTCTGTCTGTAAAACTTTCGTATCCGCGCGATATCTCGAGAACCCTTTGAGCTTTGGCAATGGAATTTAGCATAGCAACTATCTATGGCCTAAGGAAGAAAGTATAGATTTTGAGGTCAAAAGGTTAAAGTTCAAGGTCGTAAGTTTATACACTGCGTCTGTGTGTAACACTTTCTTTTCATAGTGCTATCTCAAGAAACATTGAGCTTTTGTATTGAAGATATATAGCATAACTAACTAGAGCTTCTCTCACTCCTTTCAAAGTGTCCCGCCCCTTTTTTATTGTTATTATTTATTGTATCAGAAGATGGTTGGAAATACTTGTAGCACAGGGGCAAGTGGAGAGTTATAAAATATGTGTTAGGTCACAGGTTCAAATCCCGTACGATCCTTTAATTTGTAAATATTTTTATTTACTGAAGGATATTATCTAGCAAGTGAAATGATTGATTGATTGATTGTATATTGTTTAACGTCCCTCTTGAGAATTTTTCACTCATATGGAGACGTCACCGATGCCGGTGAAGGGCTTCAAATTTAGACCTATACTCGGCACTCAGGGCCATTGAGCAGTGAGGGTTCTTTATCGTGCCAACGCCTACCGTGACACGGGACCTACATTTTTAAGGTCATATCCGAAAGACCCGTGACTTTCACTTCTAGTGCCGAGCGCTTGGGCGAAGGAACAGTCACTCCCTATGTTTATGTCTTAGGTATGACGCGGCGCCGCGATCGAGAATCGAACCCGGGCCTCCTGACCACGAAGCGAACGCTCTACCACTAGGCTACCGTGACCGGTGCAAGTGAAATGAAGATGATATAACGTCTGGATTGCACAATATCATAAAATCATCATTATAGTTTGATAAATATTCTACATGTATATAAAAAGCATCCTCTATACACATATTAAAGATTAAGCAATCAAATCTCTATATCCATATTAGCATCTGTTTAATTGTCTTCAATATACATGTATACATTGAATAATTCTACAAATTCAGGGTGTGTTTTTGTGTATGTGCATGATGCAAATACTTTTCTGTTTTCCCTTAGCGGGGGACACAACCTCTCTGAAAAAGCTTGTTCTTAAAGATTTCTTTTATTTACGGAAGCCTATTCAGGACATTCTAACGAATAAAATTTGTTAAATAAGAAATTTCTTTGAATTCTTTTTGACGAATTAAATATATTAAAATGAATTTGAAATTTTTTTTAGGTAATTAAATTCGTTTAAAAAATGCTAAAATTCATGAAAACAAATTCAAAAATTTTTTATAACGAAAAAAAATTCGTTGAAACAAATTCAGCAATCATGGTCTTTAGAAAAATATACATGAATTCGATATCAAGATTTGTCAAATTAGTTTAAATGATTTTTAGTCGATTTCCTTCTAACAAATTAAGAATTTGATTTCGTTTTGAAGAATTTAATTCGAAACAAGTTTTAGATTTCATTATACCGAATTTAATTCATTATTAATAGCTTTTAAATTCCTTTAAAATAAATTTAACAAATTTCTTATATATAGATTAAATTCATTATAAGAGCATTCAAAGAAATAATTTTAAAGAATTTAATTTGTAATAAAAAGTTCGACAGTTCACAAATATTAATTGAAAGAATTGTTAAGAACCATGAAAGCTTAAAATAACAAATTTGGAATAAAAAACCCACAAACCTCTAAATAGGGCTTACTATTTAGAAAACTTTACCTGTACACCCCTACTAATGTTATTGTGATTTAAATTCAAGACACGTGGTTTAGGTTGATCTATTCAAAGGTTATAGGGTAGAACCGGTTTTATAAATAAAATTGGCAGTAAACATGATATTGCCATAGCTTGTTTCTTTTGAAAACATGTCCTGTAATAAATGTTTATAGACCTTTCTGAAAGACTTTCACGATTTTCAACAGAAAAGGGGTGGCTTAAGGAAGTGGTGTTAAAATAACAATATATCATACTTTTCGGCGAAAATTTGAGCTCACTGGTAACCGATTCGCAGGTACAAAATGTGCATTATCATCAACACTGACAAACCTTTGTTTGCCTTACATGGCTATTGTTATAAATGCGCACAGAGGATCTTACCACGAGCAACTGACCAATGAATGAATAGCAACGTTTACGTCAAATAAATGTTTACATTTTACTTCGAACACGTTGTCAATCTACGATCATGTTAATGGACTGCAAAATAAAAAAAAATGTTCTAACGAACAAAATACAAAGGTAAGAAACTATGAAAGATGTTACGTTCGTTTTTAATTTATTGTTAAATGGAAAAAAATGTTTAACTAATAAAATGTAGTTTGTGTCTAGCATAGAACACCAGCACTTCAAAGGTAAGGAAAACGAGCAGCATCTCATGCATTTAAATGGACAAAACTTTGTTTACGTTCGTGATCACGTTTGTTGGCCAGTGTCACCTGGCATTTGTATTCACCGATAGTACAACAAAGCAATTAATACAGACGCAAATCGCTTTTTCAGTATGACTTTCAGAAACCTAGACTTCCGCTGTTTATTTTAACAAATGATTTTTTTTCACATTATGAGCATGAAAATAATATTTTTTAAAATGCTTTTAGTTTACCATAAGATTTTCCTTTATTCTAAGCGTAAAATTCCTGTAGTATTCGTAGTAACCCATAATGCAATACTCATTCACCTGATTGGTCAGTTAAAATCATGCTGGTGCCCAATTTGCTTATCTGACGCCAAAAAATATAGTCCCGGGTTCCCATGCAAAAAAAATTGTCCAAAAAGAAATTTTAATTCATGACTGCAGAAAATTGTATCATACTAAGAGAATATTATTAAAGTTTGAATGAATGTAATAGAGATCGATTGATTGAAGTACATTTCTACAGACATTATCAGCTGATTATAGGGTGGTGAAAACTGAAACGCAACAGAACTTTTCTGTTTACCATGCCTCCACGTGCTAGTTCCTTTCTAGCCACATTTCCGTGAATAATTTACCCTATCTCGCTGAATTCTCTCTTACTCTCGCCAGAGCCACTGCCAGAGCTACTCTGAAGTAATCGGGTTTTATAATTTGCAGAACACCGGAAAACTAAAAGGTTCCGAACACATTAGTAGGGGTGTGTAGATCTAGTTTTAATTGTGAATACAGTTTGAAAATATCTTTTAGAATATATTTTTGAAAGGCTTGCTTACTACTATGATGAGATGTTGATTTTTGTTAAGGCTGGAATATCCGGGGACAAGTTACTGATAGCAATGGAGCCTGAGGCGGCCTCATTATACTGTAAACATCTCCCCATAGAGAAACTGCAGGATGAGGGAGGCGTTCAGGGATTCGGAGTCTTCTCAACGGAGAGCAAATACATAGTTCTGGATTGTGGAGGTATGCTTTAGTTTTAAATGCCCTTATGTATAGCACACCTGTTTTATTATTATTTTAGCATTTCTTCATCAGAAAACATCTCTCTAACAGATCTAGTGTTTCTAAAAAAAATTACTCACTGTACAACATTAGCCTATATAACTATCAAAGTAAAGGGTTTTCTTTGTTTTTTGAATTGACTATTGTTTTGCAAAATTGCTGAAAAACTCTCTGGAATAAACAAGAGGCAACTTGCAAGGTAAAAGCAAAACTCAGTTCAGAATTGAAAAGTATATATATAAAACTGGGTTCAGGGAAAAGGGGTATTTGAACAAACCTAAATCTACCCTTCCTAAGGATGCTTTTGAATTAATATTCCACAGAGCCAAAATGAACTTGAACTACCCTATATAAAAGTATATTGGATTCTGAAACTTCATAAGAATCCTTACAAACACCGATACATTGCAGGTTACAGTAAATGTTCAACCAAGCCTCTTTTGTTACTCCTCACTAAGAACTTGACAATAGTGAACTAAAAACTTCAAGAGTACTGTGCAACTATATATTCAAGAAGTGGTGTAAATCAGATGTGGATACTAAAAAATTCTAAAGAACTTTTGGACAATTTGAAATCTCAAGCTTAAGGCTTTATAAAAACCAACAGGTTAAAAACTTACGGTTTTTCAACTTTATACACAGCAATTCCCCACGACAAATTAAAATCCAGGCTTTTTGTTATAGACAGCTGCTTCTTCAAGAAAAGTGGAACTCGTAAATTTACTTACCTCGTCATTGGTCATTTGCAAAATTATTTTGTTAAAACGGATTCTGATTGCACACATAAGTACTCTGAAGGTGACTTCAAGAAAATGCTTTAGTTTTTGATTGACAATGTCTATGTGGTTTTTGGAGACTAGGTATTCCAACAATATATTGGCATTCCCTTGGGAACAAGTTGCGCTCCGTTATTATTAGACTTATTTTTATCACCCCTACTAATGTTATTGTGATTTAAATTCAAGACACGTGGTTTAGGTTGACCTATGCAGAGGTTATAGGGTAGAACCAGTTTTATAAATAAAATTGGCAATAAACAGGAAATTGCTATAGTCTGTTTCTTCTGAAAGCATGTCTTGTGAAAAATGTGTTTCCACACCTTTCTGAGACTTTCATGATGTGTTAAATAACAATTAATACATCTTATCATAGTTACTGCAAAAATTACAGCTCACTAGTAACCGATACGCTGGTAAAAAATGTGTAATATCATCGACACTGGAAAACCTTTGTTTGTCTTATATGGCTATTGCTATTAATGCGCATAGAGGATCTTACCACGAGCAACTGACCACTTGTTGATTGAATACGTTTACGCCAAATTCATGTTTACATGTTACTTCGAACACGTGGTTCAGGTAATCTATGATCATGTCAATGGAGTGCAAAATAAAAAAAATGTTCTTAGGAACAATATGCAAACATAAGAAACTGAGAAATATCACCGGCGATTTTAATTTGCTGTTAACTAGAGAAAAATATGTTTAATAAAATGTATACGTAGTTAGTGTCAAGTTCAGTACACCAGCACTTCAAGGGTAAGGAAAACGAACAGCTTCTCGTGTGTATTTAAATGGACAAAACATTGTTTACATAACTATACTCGTGATCACGTTTGTTGGCCAGGGAATCCACCTGACAATTGTATTCACCGATAGTACAATGAAGGAATTTATCAAGCGTAAAATTCTTGTAGTAACCCATAATGCAATTCTCATTCATCCGATTTGTCAGGTAAAGTCACATTGGTGCCTCATTTGCTAATCTGACGCCGAAAAATATAGTCCCCGTTCCCATGCAGCAAAAAATTGTATTATAGAGATTACTTATAATTTGAACTTGAATGAATTCAAGAGAGATCAATTGAAGTACATTAATTTATCCAGAATGATTATAGGCTGGTGAAATTTAAAACGCAACATAACTTTTCTGTTTACCATGCCTCCACGTGCTAGTCACTTCCTAGCCACATTTCCGTGAATAATTTACACTATCTCGCTGAAGTCTCGCTAACTCTCGCCAGAGCCACTGCCAGAGCTACTCTGAACTCATCGAGTTTTATAATTTGCAGAATACCGAAAACTAAAAGGTTCCGAACACATTAGTAGGGGTGTTTATATTGATATGAAGCAGGATTTATGCAAAATCTTATGCGTGAAAAGAAGAAATCACTTGCTGTGGCCTTCAACTCGACATTTAAATATATCGACGACGTATTGTCAATTAATAATGGTAATTTCCATTCCACTATCGATACGATATATCCTTGTGAGCTTGAGATAAAAGATACCACAGAGTCCGACAGTTCTGTTTCATACTAAGATATTTTACTTGAAAAAAGACCCTTATTGTAATCTAAAAACCAAACTATATGATAAACGTGATGACTTTAACTTTTCTATCGTCAACTTCCCTTACTTATGCAGCAAAATACCTTCATCACCTGCATACCGAGTATATATATCTCAGTTGATTCGATACGCAAGAGCATGCTCTACGTATGAACAATTTCTAAAACGAGGTAAATTATTGACAAGCAATTTGATGAAATAAGAATATCAGCAGTCCCGTTTAAAGTCATCATTTCGTAAGTTCTATGGTCGATACAATGACCTTGTCAACAAATACAATTATCATTAAGTCAAATGATGACTGACATTTTTAATGCAATTGTAAGTCCATTATTCATACACTGAATTGACGACGGATTTTTTTCCGTTATTTCCCGATCATGACAAGAAGCACACGGCGAGTGTGACCGGTAGGCATTACATTCCTCTGATGGCTCCTCTATTTTCCCAATTCTCACGATGTGAACAAGTTTAAATTAACATTATCTAATTTGATGCTTTTATGTTGATGAACAATTTTGGCTTTGTTGTTTTTGTGAAGAATTTTAACTATTTTTACCATGTATTTCTATGTAAAAACCTTAATCACCCATTGTGGTCCCACTCTTCCCCCCGGGGATAACAATTTGAACAAACTAAAATCTAATCTACCTTTTTCATGCTTCTATATAATTATGACCAATCAAGGATTTACTGTTCGTGAGAAAAAGATTTGATTTTTCCTATGTATTCCTATGCTAAACTTTGATACACCATTGTGGCCCAACCCTACCCCAGGGGGTCAAGATTTGAACAACCTTAATCTACACTAAATGAGGATGCTTCTACATGAATTTCATTTTTCCTGACTTAGTGGTTCTTGAGAGGACAATTTTTAAAGATTTGTCTATGTTTTCTTATGTTAAAAATTAATACCTCATTGCATTGTGCCTCCCTACACCTGGGGGTCATGATTTGAACATACTTGAATCTATCTTCCACATGAATTTCATCTTTCCTGGTCCAGTGGTTCTTGAGAAGAAGATTTTAAAAGATTTTTCCTGTGTATTCCTATGTTAATCTTTAATACCCCATTGTAGAGCAATCCTACCCCGGGGGTCATGATTTGAACATACTTGAATCTACCCTATACATGAGAATGCTTTCATATGAGTGTCATCTTTTCTGGTCTAGTGGTTCTTGAGAAGAAGAATTTTGAAATATGCCATTCATTTTTCACTTTTTCATAATTATTCCCCTTTTAAACAGAGCATGGCCCTTTATTTGAACAAACTTGAAAATCCCTTCACCTAAGGACACTTTGTGGCAAGTTTGGTTAAAATTGGCTTAGTGGTTCTTGAGAAGAAGATGAAAATGTGAAAAGTTTACAACGACGACGACTACGACCGGCAACGGACAAGTTTTGATCAGAAAAGCACACTTGAGCCTTCGGCTCAGGTGAGCTAAAAAAAAAGAAATGTTCATATAAATATAACTTTTTAACTACGTCATCAAACAATAATTTGATAAGAAAAAGCAAACATGTAGAGTTCAACCTTTATATCTCAGACTCGACAACAAGTCAAAATGACAGAATACTGATATAAAAAATATAAATATACGAGTAAAAAGTAAAAAAAAAATTACTAACGGTAAACGTTTTAGGAAAATATGAATTATATGAAAAAATTGTGTACTAGTACTGTAAACGATACAGAATCATTACATGTATTATTTCGTTTGCATAAAAAATAATTACGTAGATCGAATCTTTAAATGTCAATGAAACACATTATCAAATATTAAAATGAAAATGCATTGATATTACTGAATAAATAATATATATCCTATCAAATTAAGGTACCAATGAAATAATAGAATAAAACCTCATTCAGGCAATCTATACCAAATGATCAAACGAACTTTCAGCTTATCAAATTTTCAGATTATATTTCTTAAAACGATATGACAAAATAAATAAAAACAAATAAATGTATATAAAAGTAAATTTCATTATATCCAAATCAGGCACGAATAAAGCTTAGAGTGCATTATATACATGTAAACAAGCCAAAATTTTATAAAGCTCGTAACAGATTACTTTAATTTAATCCATTACAAATTGTGAAATTGACTGTTATTAACCATTTTTTCTATCTTACTTCTAAGGGGAGATCACTTTAAATCCATAAAATTATCCTTTAAATAAAATGCTTTACTGAGCAGTGTTTGGAGCTTCCTTAAGATTATATAAAGTAGTAACCGCAACTCGTGATTTTTTTCTAATAAAGAGTTACTGTTTAACTCGTGAATAAAAAGTGTCGCAAAAATTGATCCACAATGGTCTACAGTATTCACCTTTTCTATGCATAACCAAAAAAATATTGTTACTGTTATACTTATTTTGTGTATCAGTATTAGATAAAAATTAATTCAGCAATAACTCCAAAACATGCTAATTCAAATGAATTGTGAATTATTTTAAAAGACCCTTTCATTTTTAAAAAACGTCGTAAAAAATTTTAAAGTAAAAATTGACAATCAATGAACTTCTCATTCAAATGTTAATGAGATATATTTGGGAGTTCTAAAACACTTCTTATTTTAAAGGAGGAACAGTAGATATCACCGTTTATGAAGTACAACCTGATCTCAGCCTAATGGAGTTGTACAAAGCGAGTGGAGGGGCGTGGGGAGGGACTCAGGTAGATGAGGCCTACAGACAGATGCTGGTCAAAATAGTAGGATCTCCTACCATCCTTGAGTTTTCCTGCTCATATGCAGCTGATTACGTGGACATGTATAGAGAATTCGAAATCAAGAAGCGATCCTTTAAAGGTGACACAAAGGGCAAGGTCACCATAAGGATTCCAATATCTCCGGTAGAGATTTTCGAAGAGGACACAGGGCAGGATATAAAAGAGACAATAGAGAATACCAAGTATTCAGGAAAAGTTATGTGGGTTGGGGACAGATGCAGAATAACAGCAGAAGTGATGAAGAGCTTCTTTGAAGTGGCAGGGGATCAAATTGTGGATCATGTTAGAGATCTATTAAATAAACCGGAGATCTCAGGAACCAACAACATTATAATGGTCGGCGGATTTTCTGAGTCACCAATTCTACAGGACATGATCAAGCAATCTTTCCCTAATTTGAGAGTTATTATTCCCCCCGAACCAGAGCTTGCAGTTCTCAAAGGGGCAGTGATGTTTGGACACAACCCAGTAACCATTTAGTCTTATATTGCCAAATAAAGCTGCTACTACAGTCAACTTTAATTTAAAAAGTTTTCGAAAAGCTGAAAAAATAAGAGATTCTGAAATCTCACTGAAGACAAGTGTTATAAAATAAATCAGTTTTATAGACGTTAGTTTTCTCATTATTGCACAGTCCCCAAAGATATAGGGCTGCTTGGACACAAATCTGTCACAATTTGTTCTCGCATCGGGAATTTAAGTTTTTACAGTCAACTTTTATCCAAGTATTCGAACAGCTGAAAAGAAAAAAAAAATCTAAAATCTCACTGAAATGTCATTGATATAAACCAGTTTTATAGACATAGGTTTTCGAATGTTTTGTACTTTTTTTTACGAATGTCGACCCTTGGACAGGGGACCCCCTAAAAATAGTGTTTTAAGAACAGTTGTTTGAAAAAAAAATATGATTTAAAAAATATTCTATATAACCTTTTGAGTATTGTTTAAAGGCATGAAGAAAAATTTTATCAAGTCTTTAGTAATTATGCGTGTGAAAAAGTAATGATCCCTCTTTCAGTAGTGAACGAAACGAAACAAGTGCCGTTAACCTAACCGAATTAAAAAAACCTACCCACTGTTCATTGGTTTAGGTATATGTGTCAAGTGAACCAGCTTCTCTAGACCAAAATATGCATGCCTTACCTCCGGGTATTCTTCATTTACTTCAAATATTGATTTATTTTAATATTTTCAGTGGAACCAGCTGGATTTTGTAAATTCCTCAACTTATTTTCAATCAGAAATTATTGAGATTAGCTATGCAGTAGGGTTTGAATGCTTTAGAATGCTACAGATACTCTCGGCCAACTTAAGCCTACTCTGTCGGAAGGGTTGGATGAAGGATAACGAACAGTATTCACTGTCAAAGTACATAAAATAATACTAAATATGAGCAGGGCAAACACGGACATTTAAAATATTAGAGGTGGGATCAGGTGCCATGAAAGAGTGAACAACCCCTGCCGACCAATTCAACCCGACGGAAAAATCCGTCGTCAATTCAGTGTATAGATAATGGACTAACAATTAGTATGAAAAAGGTCAGTCAGAATTTCACTCAATAATAAATTTTCTTTGCTGAAAAGGTCATCGTATCGACCATAGAACTTACAAACTGATGACTTTTAACGATCCTACTGATATTCTTGTTTCATCAATTTGTTTATCACTTATTTATCTCATTTTAGAATTCATATGTAGAACATTGTCTTGCGTATCAAACCAAATGAGATATATTTCCTCCGTTTGCAGGTTATGAAGGTATATTAATGCTGCATAAGTAAGGGAAGTTGACGATAGAAAAGTTTAAGTCATTACGTTTATCATATAGCTCGGTTGTTAGATTACCATTAATGCGTGAAAAGAAGAAAACACTTGCTGAGGCATTCAACTCGATATTTAGATATATTGACGACGTATTGTCAATTATCATTGGTACTTTCCATTCCTATGTCGGAACGATATATCCTGGGGAGCTTGAAATAAAAGATACAGCAAGTGGTTTCTTCTTTTCACGCACAGGATTTTGCACAGATTCTGCTGAATTTAAATTACAAAAATAGGTCTGCTTATAACGGAGCGCAATTGGTACCTATGGGAATTCCAAAAGATTGCTGGAATACCTGGTCTCTAAAATCCCATATATTTTGTCAATCAGAAACTAAAGCATCTTTTTGATGTAAACTTCAGAGCACTTTTTTTGGGCAATCAGAATGTGTTTTAAAGAAGATCTGCACTAGCACTACGTCAATATGGAATAGTAAAACCGGAACCGCGCTTCCTTTTTTCCAAGATGTGATTTTTGAACTATATTGGTTTGACTTTTACTCATTCTCCAAAGTCAAGAGTTTCTGATCCTTTCCGCTCCACATAAACCCTTGACCAGGGTTAGAAATGCGTTCTCTGATTGGCCTCATGCAAGCTTGCATGAACCAATCAAAATAATTGTTTTACTGTATACAGGGTTATTTTCGCCCTGTGTTATTTTCGCTCTTTTGTGCTTGCTGACAATTTACCCCTGTCTTAAATTCGCCCAGTCATGGTTCTGTTTGAGAAATTATGCTGTTTAATTTGAGTTCGCCCCGTTTTAAATTCGCCCAATCAAGAAGAGGGCGAAAATAAAACGGGGGCAAAAATTTCCCTGTATACAGTATTTAAACTGAAACTAAATCGAAAACAGAAAATCACGCCAGTTTTAGTCCCAGTGACTATAGCGTCTTTATGATTAAATAGCAGAGTAAAGGTTTGTCTTAGCATTTTAAATGAGTTACATGTATATTGAATTCATTTCCAACTACCAATATTATCTCGAATTCTCTGTTGAATTCGTTTACTCTGATTATTTTATAGCAGAGGTCAGTAGAGTTCAAATTGTGTTATCTCACTAGATGGCGCGACAATAAACCCTGTCAAACTTAGCCTATTCGGTCAAGGGTTTATGTGGAGCGGAGCGGATCAGCAACTCTTGACTTGGGAAGATGACTTTTACTTAGCGTTTTAAATATCTGATAACGATTTTGCTCCAAGTCGATCGCATAAAGAAACTTACAAACACTGATTTTATATTTTAAGGATAAATTAGTTAAAAAGAGAAGACTGGGAACAACTTTCGGTTGACAAAGAAATAATTAGGTAATAGAACATTATGTGAATGATACATGTATAATATGCCATGTACGATAACATGGGCCACGAACATTCTACATCAGTATATGTATCAAACTGTCAAAGTCGAGGCAACTATTGTCGTAGGCTGAGTTGAAGCTATCAGTAATAATTCGCAAGAAAAGTAATTACTTCAATTAAACTTAGACAACTTTAAAGAATTTACTGATCAAACATTACAAAATTTACTTTGAGTAAGAATTTTTCATAAGACGCCTACCCATCCCCCTGATTATCCATCAATCACAATTCAAAATTATCCTTGATTCACTTGCAGCATACTTACTTTTTGTAACAAAATCATCAAGTTTGTGAGAATCAGTCTATCACGTTTATATTCATTGTCTCCAATTTACAGACAAGTGTGTTTTAAAGTTTTTTTTTAGAGTAAGATAAGACAAATTTCAGGACAATGGGTTTTGAGTGTATAATTATTGTTTTAGAATATTAACTACTTTGTCAATACAAATATATATCCCGGTACCTTCAAACTTTAACAGTATTACAGGAAAATGTAGCAATATATTACTTATAGAAGAAGGAAATTATGGGGGTCCACTTAGTCTAGAGCTCATACCGTGAAAAGTAATGCATCAACATATAAATTTTTTAGTTTATTCTTTTTTTTTAAAATGTTATTCAGCAAAAGAATACAAGTTTTCGTAGTTTGAATCCATAATTTTTTTTTAAATGACCGAAATTGACCTGTGGAGCATATTTTCTCATATTGAATTTTGGTACGTTTAATCTAACAAAGTGCAAATATTTATAATAATTCATGCGAAACAATGATAATACATGGTTAACAAACATGTTTCTACTCTATTTTTTGTACAAAAGTTGAATATAGAGACTTTTTTACATTTATATTCAACAAAATCTAGGATAGTTAAATTTCGGTATTTTACATTTCGGGGTATATATTCCGATAGGCAATAACTGAAAAGTAAACATGTTGACATATATCTTTTTCTTATGTCTATCCATTGCTGGAATGTATATCTATCTTATAAAAGCAGATTTTTTTTTCAGATTGAGACCATTTAGTGCCGTATGTAGAACTACCTTGGCAAAAAAAAATTTGCAAATGACCAATGATCAGGTAAGTACATTCACGAGTTCTATTTTAATTGGAAAAGCAGCTGCCAGTGATATGAAAGAGGCTTGACTTTAATTTATCGTTGGAAATTTTTGTGTATAAATTTGAAAAGTCGTACGTTTTTAAACTGTTGATTTTGGTACAATCTTGTGATTTCAAATTGACCGAAAGTTCTTTTGAATTTTTGAGTATCCGCATCTGATTCGCACCACTTCTCGAATTTAGTATCCCTACGAGAAAGATAAATGCACTGATGAACTCCAGGCACAGGAAAATCAATTTTGTCACATATACGTATGGGAGACAGTGAAAATCTCCATTTTCGCTTTTGGGGGTATCGTTATATGGATTTAATTAACTCATGAATTATGCAGTCAAAATGACAAAATAAAATTCTAATAACTTAAAATACTGGAAAATGCCTGAAAAATATGATAGTTTTAAAATGCAATTGGAATTACAAATGATGTGATACAGGTAATATTTTGAAATCAATGTTAGTTGTTTAAAAACGATGATTTAACAAATAATGCATGTGTACTTTAGCCTAGAGGAACTGATTTTCTGAAGCAATGAACAGTAGATTGATTGTAAATAATCCGGTTAAGGGTCCTTGTTCCGTTTCAATTCATTATTCTGCTGAAAGAGGAATAATTACTTTTTAACACGTATTATGACCAATGACGCGATAAAAATTGCTAAAAGCCTTTCAACAAATAATAGAAATATCAGTTATAGACAGTATTTTTACACCATTGTTTTAAAACCGCTTTGGTCAGAAAATATGTATGTAGTCAATAATGAAAATGGTGCCATTCTTTAAAACAATAGAAGCTGCAAATTTTTGAAGTGTGAGTTGACAGAGAAAAGAACATTTTAAAGATTATGTAAGTTGTTCATATTTGTGATGGAAGAACTATTTATATGTTTTGACTATCTCTTTCTCTCGTTTGTAGAGTTGTTAATATTCG